CACCATTATCCAAGGGAGCGTGTGCTTACTTTCGTCTGGCAGACCTGGCAGCGGCTGCTTTGAAATGTGGGAAGGCTCTGGTCATGTTTAAACTTAGAACACATATGTTTGCTGACATATTAGATATGAGGTGAGACAGAAAAAAAAAAAAAAAACAAATACTGCCTTGTGGTTGGAAATGAGCCACCAGAGAATTTGCAATGATGTGTCCTCAGATGGGAAGGCAAAGAGAGCAAACTCTGAAGGCAGATGGAAATAAGGATGTGAGTAGGACATATTTCCAATTTTGAGATGGCACCAGATCTCCAGCCAACAACTGTCCCTCAGGTACTTGTATGTGTGGGATTCTGGAGCTCTGGGAAGTGAAGTGAACTAGAGATGCAAACATAGACATAGAGGTGAGGTCACCAGGAGATGAAGGTAAGTAGATGAGGCCAGACTGGTCCCCACCGCGTAATTCAGTTTTCATAGGTCAAGTCACAAGGAGAAAACAGAACTGGAGCCTGTGGAGTAGAGGTCAGTCATAGCTAGAGAGAGAGAGGGAAGGAAAGAGAGAACAAGGAAAATAGAGAGACAAGGAGAAACACACAGAGAAAGGGGGAGAAAAGGAGAGCCTAGAGCCAACAATCTCTTTTTCTTTCACAAATGTAAAATTAAAGTGCCAAATGAACACCAAAATGTCCTTTAGGACAGGTTGTTATAAGTGGCCCAAACTTTGTGTCTCTTACAAGACCCCAGCTCACCCTGGGCAGGGGCAAGTGTTCAAGATCACTTTCTAAAGAGACAGCCACTTGCTGCCCCCTGTTGGTCAGTCCTGTGCAGGGCAACTTCGAAGGAAAATTGCTCTCAACCTTCCCCTTTCAATTATCTAGAAAGAGTTTTTGTACCAGGCTGTGATCTGGTTTAACAAGTGCAGGCTCCTTTGCGGCATCTCAGAGCACTGCAGCTGTGAAGAGCCTCGCGTGGACCATCATTTCCTCGGAACGTGCTGCACAAGGTCATTCTCTTATTCACCAAGCATGATTTCCAGTGTTTGTCCTGTGAGCTGACCCATCCTCTCCCCCAGCCCCATCCTCAAGGAGTTACAGCACGCAAGCCATTCTGCACCTTGTAGCAACTTTCCTGTCTTCTACTCTGACATCACAAACTAATTATTCTGTTCTCAACCTGCCCAACAGTCCACTTACAGTTGGAAAAAAATCTATACAAACAAATGCACAAACTTAAACGGCTGTTCAAATGCTACAGAGCGCTAGTATAGAATACTACAGAGCCTTGACTGACGCTTTTCTCCCCAAGATCAGAGATTTCACCAGGCAGGCGGAAGATTTTTAGGTAAATTTATAAAGAAGTGGGTACGTGCTAACACCTACTGGTCATCCTCATGCACTGCAAATTGCTAAGAAGATGGTTTTCTCACGCTTCTTTAAAAAACCATTGGCATATTTTAAACAGCATCCTATTACCTAGTTATCTAATCTAATTCAACGACCACGGAAGTGCACCCAGTACCTCGGAGTATTGAACATCTGGGCAGCTTGATGCTTAGCATGTACCGTTAATCCTTTTTCCCTGCTGGAAACAGCCTCATAAGGAACACGGTGCTGCAAGACCATTTGCTTTCTTCATGGAGCTCGATTTGCAGTGCTTTTCTCATCATTTGAAGGGGGGGTTACTGGGGATGGAACGCATGACCTTGCCATTACCAAGCAAACTCTTGAGCCGCTGAGTTAAATCCCCAGCCCTCTCCCCGTCATTTGAACGGCCCCTCTGACCCACCTCATCCTCAGTCAGTTAGAGCAACCAGGCCATCCTGTCCATTCCAGCAGCTCTGCTGTCTGTCTGTCCCTCACATCACAGTCTGGGATTCTGCTCTCAGCCTGACCGCTGAATACAACTGCTGACGAAACAACACGCGTGCCCGCGAGCACACACACACACACACACACACACACACACACAAATACACAGAAACAAAGACCCCTTCAAATATTGCATAGCCACACTATCAACCAGCTAAAGATCAACGTTTTGCTAGTAAGGAGGGTTACTAGCAAAACTCAGATTTTTAAATTTTGTTCTTTAAATGGAAAAAAAAGGTTAAAACAAAATTTCATAACAAAATAATTGGAGAATAGCAATAGTTAGTACAGTGAATGTTGTTATCTTTAAAGTAGTTTCTCAGAGGACAAGATATGGGCATGAAAAGTTCTCCAATCAATACTAACACAAAGCTTCCTTTTCAGTGAACTAAGACACACTAATAGTATAACTGACTTGGGGTTTGTTTTCCTTTTACCCTCTGTCCCACCTCCTCTCCCCCCTCCTAGTTTCTTTTTCCTTTTGAACACTTTCTTCCTATTTCACAGTATCTATCACACATTCTACACCTTATTTACTCTTACAGTTTTTCACACCATGGAAGCAACACAATGTTTACACAATGTCACTCTGATTTATTTCACTTATGAGTTTGCAGTTCTCTAATAACCAATGATCTGAACATTTGTTCATATATTTACATTTAATTGTTTACCATTTGTATTTCTTCATCTGAGAAGTGCACATTCATCTCAGATGCACATTTTGAGATTGCGTCTTAAAATTTACAAGGTCTGCTTTTTTTTTTTTTTTAGCTCTTTATATATTCTAGGGAGAAGTCCTTGTCTGAGGAACAATTGGCTACAATTGTTTTCTACTCTGTTGGTTGATTTTTCACTCTGTTGGTGATTTCCTTTGATGTGCAAAAGCTTTGTAGTGAGATGAGATCCCAGGCATTGATGATTTGAAGTGTTTCCCATGCAGTTTGGGTTTTCTTCATGAACTCTCTGCCTACACCTACATCTTTAAGATTTCTGCCTACTTTGTCTTCCAGCAGATTTAGTGTTTCTGTTTTAATATTTAGATTTTTTATCTCTTTCAATTTTAGTTTAGTGCAACATGATAGATACGGGTCTAGTTTTACGCTTTAGCATGTAGAGTCATTTTTTTTCCAGAACCATTTAGTAAAGAGGCTATCTTTGTTCCAGTGAATATGTTTGGCCTCTTATTCAAGGATAAGGTGGCTGAGTGTCTTTGTAATTGTGTCTACATCTTCTACTCTGTTCTACTGATCTAGATCTGTTTTTTTCCCAGTGCCATGTTGATTTTATAACAGTAACTTTGTAGTATAATATCAACTCAGGAATTTTGATTGCTCCTGCTTTTCTTCTGTTGTCAAGAATTACTTTTGCAATTCTAGGTCTTTTGTGTTTCCAAATAAATTTTAAGAATGTGGCCTCTAGTTTTGTAAGGTTCTCTAATGATGTTTTGATCAGGATTGCATTAAGTCTGTATAATAGTTTTGGAAGTACGGCAATTTTCACTATGTTAATTCTTCTGTCAATGAGCAAGGGATATCTTTCCATTTATTGATGTCCTCTTCAAACTTCTTTCTCAGGAAATTTTAATTTTCAAACTGTAATTTTAAAAACGTAGATATTTTACTTCCTTTGTTAGATTTATTCTTTTTTTTAAATTTTATTTAAGAGGAAAAAGAAAAACACAAAACAAAACAAAGCAGTGTAAGGGTACTTAAGTACTTCATTTTTTTTGGATGCTATTGTGAAGAGTGTGCTCTTCCTAAATTCTTTCTCAGTAAGCTTGTTGCTTGTGTACAGGAATACAATTGAGTTTTCAGTGTTGATTTTGTATTGGGCTATACAACTGAATTTGGTTATTAAATCTAAAAATCTTTTGGTAAATTTTTTGGAGTCTTTTACATGGAGTATCATGTCAGCTGTGAATAATGATAATTTAAATTCTCCTTTTTCTATCCTTATTCCATCTATTTCTCTATCTCTTTTTCAACAAACTACATTTACTATTGACTGTAGTAAAGGACAACAAATAATGTGCAAATTGGTGAATAAACAGTACAGCTAATGAACATCCTACCCCAAGCCAGTAAAGTAAAATAAAGGAAGGAACATTTTTGTAGGATTTCAAGCAAGCAAGAGATGGCAGGTCATTGTCAGATGACTGTGAAAGTCAGAGAATGGCTGTCTAGCAGCAACAGATCCATAGAGAAGGACACGAGGCAAAACTATAAAGATTATAATTGGCACGGAGCCCAAGCTGTGTCACAGAACTGGAGTTACCATGCTAATACAATCAAGCAGCAGAGCACAAATCCATAAGAAAAGCACAAAGTCACCTTTCCATGGGTTTCTTCTGTGACCACACTTTGAAGTAGCTCTTTTACACAGTAATGTAACTGCAAATTCAGGAGACTCAATCATGTTTTATAAGGAGACCAAAGTCATTCATCAGAGGCAAACAGAAGTCAGAGGCCATAATATAATTACCAACTGAGAAATGCGGTAATTACGTTGTCCTATATTACAGAAAGGGGAAAAGCTAGTTTTGATTGTGCCAATCTTTGCACAAGTATCCACCACCAGGTACTTACCAGAGGAACAGTGTCCTGAGCTTCAGGCCCCCAGAGAACACGATCAAGGGCAACGAGACCCAGGCACACATTACTGAAAGACTCCCTGTGCTTTTGTTCACCTTTCAAGGACCAGTCCAGTTTCTCCCTTCAACTTTATCACATGCTTACAAAGCCTAGATCTGCAAGACTTGGCACTGCAGTAACCTCTGCCTACAACAGAAAGTAAGTCAAATCCCTCTCACCTTGTACCACAGCGTGGCAACTGGGAGAACGTGAGCTGTATACATGATTACAAGGAGCCATCTCAACTTTGGGGCTAAGAACCTGGCCACAGACGGAGCTGATGTTAAAGAGGTACTGGGGCAAATGTTTGGAAGGGGAGAGAAAAGAAAAAATGAAGAAACCTCACAACTCATTTTAGCTAATCAGAAAACAATCTGACTGGCACAATTTAAGCTGCAGACACTTCTCTCTGGATGCAGTTTTGTGGAAGTGCACCCCACAGAGGAGGGTGGTTCAGTGACTGTCCTGGGCTTCCGCAGACTCCATGATCACCTTAGTCATGCGCTCACCATGCCACAGTGAATGCAAGGTACAGGATGGTCCCTCTGGAGGCTGCATCTCTATTCTGTTGCTGGAACATTTCAAAGGGGTGTTCATCCTCCATCTCCAGCTGCGCTACAGCATCTGTTTCATTAATGGGCTGCCCACCAAACCCGAATCTAATCTGTCTCCTAGACAAGCCCTGCCACTCACGGTGGGCCTTCATCAGCTGGCTCAGTGGGGTGTGCCTCTTGATCTTGAAATACACCACCAAGCCATCCTGCCCTGCTACCTTCAGGTTGATGTGGTCATTCTTGGTCTTCACGCCCACCTTAGGCTTCTCTTCTCACAGGGCTGCACCCTGGCCACAGAAGTGCAGTGCTGAGCGGTGAGTCACATTCTGGGCCCAGCCACTCTCCTGCCACAACTGCTCACAGGGCACGTTTTATCTTTATTTCTCTCTCTTATCAAATTGCTCTGTTTCCAGAACTATTTTGAAATAGCAGTGGTGATCATGGCATCCTTGCCTTGTTATAGATTTTAGAGTGAAAGCTTTCAGTTTTTATTATGATGCTGGCTGTGGTTAGTAATAGATGGCTTTTACCAGATTAAGATAAATGTCATCTATTCCCACCAGAACTCAGATTTTTACCCAAAACATTTATCTTCTTTTACTGAAATTGTAACCTGTTTCATATTGGAGTTACTTTTGCATTAGTTTTGAAATTTTTAGTTATTCTATCAAGATACTAAGCACGTGTTTTAAGGAATATTTACACCCCTCTTTAAATTTCATACAACAACTAATATGGATGAGCCTCACACTACTCTGGCCTGTGGATCAGGGCATCAAAAGGCAGGTATTACTTTACCGAGCTCACAAAGAGGATGCTGGGAGATGGCAGACAGCACTTTCTCCGTGTGTCAGGACTCACTGCTTGGGAACAGCAGTTTGACCTCCAAACACACAAGAACTTTCTGTAACCTCAGAGGCCTTCACAGAGAGACACAGAAGTTCAGTGGATGCCAGAGACTGCACTGACTGGTGAGTTGTGTGGATTTGTCCATCTGCAGGAGAGGGCGATTGCACCAGGAGCCATTTTGGATGGTAGCAAACTGAGCCCTGAACTCAGAACAACTGCTGTCCCCATCTGCTGGCTCCTACCTGAGTCCAAGCCCACAGAAGGTGCACTGACTGCTGCAGCCTGAACAGGTCTGGTTCTACCCTCATGGCCAGATACAAGCCTTAGGTTCAGGGGAAATAGGGATGTAGGCTCACTGAGACTATTCACTACTCCACCATAAAGCTAGTGTTGGCCTGCTGGGATAAATCAGTGTGAATCTGGACTCTGTTGCAACACAACTTCTACCGGTGAAAGCAGAGACACACCTTGAAGGGGACATTTCTTTTCTCTCTTTCTTTACTTCTTTTTTTCCTCTTCACTGCTCAGTCTTGTTCTTCTATGAATGTAAACCTGGTTTCTGGATTCCTTATGGTTGTTCTGTTCTGTTCTTTCATTTCTTCCTTCTCTCTTTCATTCCTGTCTTTTGCACTACTTTCTCAGTGTGCATCGCACTGCTTCATCTTCCCACCTTGCTTGTAATTGATTCTCTTTAATACATTTCTCCATTTTTCCCACTAACCTCTTTTAAATTTGCTCTCCTGAAGGTAAAATGGGCATATTGAGAGCTTATTTACTACATACTAATTTCTAGTTTATTTCACGTTTTGTTATATAACTACAAGGCTATGTCATATGTTTCAAGGTGACAAATAAAGTTTCTACAGTTTATCATTTTCTAGGCTATTGTTTTTTCTGACTGTACCACTTTAGTCCAGGTGATAGAAATGTGCTAACCAGCTGTTCTTTCCTAATACACCAACACTGAGGCTGCTACCAGTCATTGAAACCTCTATGGCCATTGTCAAAGAAGCAGGGGCTGGGCCAAATACGTATCCCCAACAGATTGAAGAGATAGGATCTTGCAACAGACTCAAAATGAAAAGCCACTTACAGCTAGAAAACACCTCTGAAAACAGCCTTTTCCCAGTAGTTCTAAATAATAGCAATAAAGCTACCAATCACAGGGAATGTAAAAGCCTAAAGGCAGGAATTTGATTTTTATTTTTTTATTTTAAAGAGAATAAAATAAAACAGAATAGTACAAAGCAAATCAGAACAGAACAGTGTAAAGCACACAGTGCTTCACAACCAGACAACCAGACATCAACAGTAGCTTCCATAATGTCTCTTTTCTTTGACTTAATTGAGCATAGCTTCACACACATTAATATCAAACATAACAATATAGTTTCAAACCATTCAAAAGAATGAAAGCATTATAGAACTTCAAAACCAAATAACATAAAATGAACAATGGCTACTATAATAACTCATTTTCTTCAAAAAGTTGTCCATAATATAACACATAATAAAATCAAATAAAACACAATAGAATAGAACCAATCAAAACAAAATAACAAAAGAATGGTAGGACTTCAAAGGAAGATGACAGTAAATCAGCAATGGCTACCATAATGTCTTGTTTTCTTCAAAATAGCTATTTATACCATTACACATAATAAAATCAAACAAACAATAAAACCAATCAAACTAATGAATGTAAGTATTATTAGACTTCAAAGCAACATAATAGGAAACCGTGATTACCATATCATTATATTCAAAATAGCTGCTCTTACCACCTGACAGCACAAGACACAACAAAGCCAAACCTAATGAAATTGTGTAAACAATGCAAGAGTCCAAGATAAGACAATAAGAAACTGTTAGTAGTTTCCACCTTTCCCTCCCAGGTATTCCCTCCCCTTTGCTCTTACATTAAATATTTTGCTTTTGGATCCCATTACCTCCTTCTGTTTCTAATGCTAGGGTTCACATGTATGAGTTCAAACTGTTAGCGCCATGAACATGAGCTCCAGTTGGTGTCCATTTACCTACAGAGCCTTAGATTATTCTACTTTATAGCTGGGTAGCTTTCCACAGCATGAAAATACCATATATTTCTTATCCATTCTGTGGCTGATGGGCAAGTTACTCTTGATTTTTTTTGTCTCCTGTCACATGAAACTGTGGAGGATGAAGAGTTACTTTGAGGCTCTGGCCCCCTCGTGACTTGCAATAAACAATAGCCCCTGGTATATGCAGGACAGAGACGGGACGGGAAGGCCCGACCCCAGTGAGGGAACATGTTTCCCCCTCTGAGCCCATACTGTACTAGGCTTTGTTTGCAGAGTCATGAGGAGGTGGCCGACCTTCAGGTGGCTAGAAAGAACAAACATAATTAAAAGCATTTTTGGGCTAATGGGATTCCTCCTGGGTTAGTGTGGCTAGAAGAACTGTTTTTGTTTGTTTAACTTAGAGAGAAACATTGTAGTTGGTCACAAATCTTGTTACAAAGAATGTTTTTTCAAGATAATTGCCTGTGCTCTGTGAGTTGACCTGGTTTACTATATAAGAGCCCTGGAATAAAGACTTGGTGTGCAGTTGCAATTGCTGTTTCTCTCTGCTGCTTCTTTTCTGCGCGCTGCACCCCCCGTGTCCCGACTTGGTGTGTGTGTGCCTCTTCCCGGGGTTCAGAGTGCACTAGACACTCGCAACATGAAACAATTGTTTTTGGTCCCCGGCCCAGTGGGCCTTTCCGCGGCGGCGCCGGGCCGAGCTCCCTGCTCGCTTCGAGTCTCCCGAGGGCGGGAGAACGGAACACTCACAACTTCCTGAGTTTTAAAGTTTCTGTTGCTTCCCACAATGGATGAACAATCACAAGGAATGCAAGGGCCACCTATTCCTCGGTTCCAGCCACAGTCTAGAGGATACTGAAAGAATATTTTGAGTAGCAGATCTGGGGTGCCCTCACTGGCCTCTCTGCGTGTCTGGAGGACTCTGGATTTCTGCGCCCAGACTGCTGGAGTTCCCTCAGGCTTCCAGGTGCAGTGAAGGAGAGAGGTGGGTTTAAGGCTTCCACATCAGCCTCCCCATTCCCGGCTTCATTTGGAGACCTGCTGAGCGTCCGATAGGTGGCCTGGCCCACACTACCAGCCTAGCCCAGCCTGTTTAGCTGCCGCGCCTGGCCACAGGTCTGCAGAGGAGGAGCTGGGCAGATCTGGGGTGCCCTCACTGGCCTCTCTGCGTGTCTGGAGGACTCTGGATTTCTGCGCCCAGACTGCTGGAGTTCCCTCAGGCTTCCAGGTGCAGTGAAGGAGAGAGGTGGGTTTAAGGCTCCCACATCAGCCTCCCCATTCCCGGCTTCATTTGGAGACCTGCTGAGCTCCTGATAGGCGGGCTGGCCCACACTACCAGCCTAGCCCAGCCTGTTTAGCTGCCGCGCCTGGCCACAGGTCTGCAGAGGAGGAGCTGGGCAGATCTGGGGTGCCCTCCCTGGCCTCTCTGCGTGTCTGGAGGACTCTGGATTTCTGCGCCCAGACTGCTGGAGTTCCCTCAGGCTTCCAGGTGCAGTGAAGGAGAGAGGTGGGTTTAAGGCATCCACATCAGCCTCCCCATTCCCGGCTTCATTTGGAGACCTGCTGAGCTCCCAATACGTGGGCTGGCCCACACTACCAGCCTAGCCCAGCCTGTTTAGCTGCCGCGCCTGGCCACAGGTCTGCAGAGGAGGAGCTGGGCAGATCTGGGGTGCCCTCACTGGCCTCTCTGCGTGTCTGGAGGACTGCGGATATCTCTGCAACCAGGGAGGGTCCACAGGTTCCTGAAGCACTGCGGCCTGTGGTGAGTACCCTAACCCGGCTGCGATTGAAGAACTGTGGAGCTTCCAAGGGGCAGGTGGGCGCACAGTGTCCCTGAGGCCCAGCTTGTCTGGAACTGCGGAGTTCTGAGCAGGCAGAGGAGGGCCACTGGTTCTGTAGGCCTAATGGCTTGGAGTAGCGTGGCGCCAGAGTCCCAGTAGCTCCAAACATAGAAGGGGATTTTCAACAGATCCTGAGGAAGCTTTCAAGTAACACTTGAAACACAGAAATATAGGAAAATGACAAAACGAAAGACCAAATTACAACCTCAAACCTCCAGCCCATCTCAAGAAACCCTAGGAGCGATGTATATAGAAGAAAATATATCCCATCCACCTCATATATCGGACACAATAGCCACTGAAATTGACAAGGAACTCCAGGAAGCTTTAAAGAAATTCAAACTCGAAATAATCTCCCAGATAAAAGAAGAAATGATAAAAGAAATGAAAGAGATTCTAAATATATCTAAAGAAAACACAGATAAAAAATTGGAGGAACTAAACAAAAAGATAGAATCCCTAGACGAGCAATATAAGAAACAAACAGAATACATAATGCAGATGCACAGAGATATACAGGAA